TTCCGCCCCAGCTATTTATCCATGCCAGGGTGGCTGTAGAAGCTGTGAAAAGAAGCCTGGCACCTACTGTGCTTCGTCAGAGCATGCACCGTTGAGGGTGTAACAGGGGCCCCTCCTAGCTCCACGATATCAGTTGCAAGCGGCCCTTACCGCAGATGCTTCCCGGATTAGAGTGAGAAGTTGCATTGGCTTGACCTCAGCTTGATGTCAATTGCTACTGTGCAATGCCATAAGCTGTAGCTTTGTCGCGATTTGACATGCTCCAACTACTCTGGCACTTTGGCATGACCAGCTTCATGCCGTGATTGCTTCATTCGAAGTAGGGCTTCGTCTCATCCAAGCCGCTAACCCCACTGCAATGTATGCAACCTCGCCCGAATCACTTAAGTATTCCTGCCAAGCACTTCAACAGGTGTTCTTACACCCGAAGCTGGCCCCAGCATGTCATCAACCTGCTCCCTGCAGACTTGGCGATGGTGCAAGATTTGCAAGACACAGTGGAGGAGACCCTGGTCACGTGGCGCAAGAATTCGATGTCGAACATGGTCCCATGGTGTTTCGGTGCTGCAGGCTATTCCAGTGCAGTGAACCGTGATCCCGTTTCAACGTACAGCGACTGCCAGGAGGACTTCGACAAGCTGGAGAAAGAGCAAAAGCTGCTTGAAGCCGAACTGCAGGCAAAGCTCCTTTGGAGAAGTCAGCTTCAATTCCACATTCATTGGGAATGTTGACCTTGCATAAAGCACTCCATTCATGAAGGCACCCAGCAGAAGCGTTGAGGCTTCTTGCAATGTGCTCACCCGCCTGCTTGAGTGAGCATGCTCAGCATCACCTATGATGGCTAGAAGTGTGTCTGAAGTATGCAGGTTTCCTTTCCACTGAGCAACACGCATCCGAAAACGTATAACACGTCCCTCGGCAAGGAGGCACAGGAGTATCCGCTGTATCCCAGCCGCGACTACGTCGCGGGAGCCTAAGCACTGTCATAGCTTCAGGGGGAAGGGGGTCAAGCGCAAGCTCTGTTTTGCCACTATTCTCCAGCCGATGATCCTGCACCACTTGTGGAATGCAAGCTGCTCCCTTTGAATTGGTCTTCAAATCTACTTGGCTCGTCTTGCGTTCGTCGCTCGCTGAGACCTCGCGACGGTGCGAGAAGTTGCCCATCTTTTGGATACCTTGATTGTACGCAGTCCAAGGGATGTCTTTGCTGTGTGATATGGTATCCTCTAGTTGCGAAATATATATATATATATACATATATATATATATATCTTTGAAGGGCAACCGACGACCACGAAGCCACGGAGCCTTGCAGAGGTCGCTTCTGTGCCAGAGCCAGGGGAGCCTCCGCCTCCCGAGGCGCGGCGAAGACTGGGTCCTTTAAGAGGGGTCTTTATGTAAGAGGGTTCTATAGGGTCCTTTAAGAGGGGTCTTTATGTAAGAGGGTTCTATAGGGTTTCTGTATCGGGGTCTATAGGGTTTCTATACGGATCATTGGTATATTATTTAGTATATGTATCTTCAAGCTTGGGGAACTTGCCGTGTCGGGCTGTGTAGCTGTGCAGCAGTTACACAAGTGCTCAGCCAACCAACCCGACACCCTTGCCCCTAAACGTCGGCAACACAAACCCCCTTTCCTGCTTCGACTTTTTGCAGATGTTTGCATAGGGGAAGCGAGCATCAGAACTGCAAGGATGGCTACCGCAGATCCCATTCATGCACCACGAGCAAACGGTAGTGCGAAGGATAGAAAGAACACGCGGGATCATCCTGCAGATTGCCTCGAATAGTTTTTATCCGCCATGGAGCCTGCATGGCCATCATCTCCTGATTTCTTCTCGGGCGAATGGGAAGATGATGATGGAAGCACCATAGAAGTTGCCTCCAGAAAAAATAACCCCATCATTGCGATCCTCCAGAAAGCTGCTACAACGGAGCGGCGTTTGCTCGTCACTTCTGACAAGTTTGGCAGGTGGACTTGTGGCGAGGGTGTGCTGCAACCCTATCTTTGCAGTCAGAACAAGGTTGTTTGGTGGTCTGAGGAAAAGGAGAAGTGGGAACGGACATGGACACGCAAAAGCAGGACAGGGACACACCAAAAGACACTTGAATACTTGCCACATGCACCCTTTGTGCCACCATGTGCCACCAGTCCTGCGATTTTGTGAGGAAATCCAACATCAACGCGTGCTTCGAAGAAGCATGTGTCAGTGCCAGTATTTGCCCTGCAGAAGCTACCCTCTAGCGCTGCCCCGAAAGACGACCTTATGGTTGAAATCGAAAGGCTCTGGCGCAAGTGGCAGACCTGCCGCCTTTGGATGTCATTCTTCATCCAGGTGTGGATAGCAAGCCCACCCTGTGGTGTCCAGACCACAGGCGACTTGATGTCCTTTCTTGTGTCCAAGCAAAGCATGTCGATGTGGTTATCAAAGTCAAGTGTGTGGTCTGGCTTCCTTCCACTACAGAAAAATGGAGTTTGCAAAGGAAAGGATCCACCTTTGCGGGGCGGTCTGAGCTCAACGTGGGAGCAAAGCAACCTGTTTGGCACTTTAGATGACGACAAAAGTGATATCAGAGTTGATTGGCCTGGAGGCAAGAAAGCTTTTCTCAAAACAAAAATTGGGAAGGATGGCAAGCCGATAAGGTATGTTTGCCTGAAACTTGATGAGCAAAAGTGGATTTGCGGAGAGGGCGTCTTGCAATCCAGTGAGAGCACACATGAACGCATCGTTTGGCGTTCAGATTGCCCGACGAAACAGTGGGTGTGGAGCCGCAGGGAGGACTATGTTCCTTCTTTCTCGCCGGAGGTCTCCAGATTCTGGAAGATTCCCGAACCTTCCAAGGAAGTTGTCACTGTACCGGTTTTGTATTTGCGGTTCACACACCGTACAGCATCAATCAAAATCTCAAATTCAGTGATGGACGACGGATCTTGGAAAGGTTGAAGGAGATGATCTCGAACCCAGCAGCACTCCGGGACCACGAGCCCCTTGAGGTGTTTCTACATGAAGGACCTGATGGAAGACGAGCTCTCTACAGCCTAAACAATCGCCGACTCCTGGTCCTGCGCTGCTTGCAAGCCATTCACCGCAATGCTTTTGGGCGGGTGAGGTGTCGCATTCATGATGCCAAACAGCGTCGTCGGTTCAAATGTGGCTACTCCAGACCCAGCCAGTTCATTGGATGTGATGGCCTCGGTCTTGCTGTCTGGATTCGTCAACCAACTTCCCTCCACAAGAAGTGAGATGTGCTTTCGCTACCCGACAGGCTTGCACACAAAAGTGCTTTGCTGGCAGGGTGGGATGCGCGCTTTCGACGAGCTGCCAGAAACGCAGATTGGTAGCAGCAATCCCCTTAAGTTTTGACCGATATCATCCCACATTTGCTTCGGTTAAGCCAGCCCCTATTTGCAACAACACAGCTGCATATTGACTTTCATCCCAAATGTTGGTAAATAGAATGCACTGATGGTACAGGACTCTGGATTGACTACTAATTTCAAAACACAGCATGTTTTCCTCAGCAAAATGACAGTGCAACGAGGTTGTTTTAAAACCATCATCTTACAACATATGCATGAAGGGACTGAAGTAATGTTGGAGCACTCTTGCTGCAGATTGTCATCGGCACAATGGACACGGACGTGCCGAAGGCCTGCTTCCGTGATAGACTCCCGAGCTATTTGGATTGTGTGCGGTCTCAGAGAGAGTTCCGTCCACACGCTTCTGTCACGTGTGTCGGGGCAGGGTGTCGGTGGCCGAGGAGCCAGCGTGTTATCGCCTAGTGTTTTTTCATGGTTATTGTCAGACATAAGATGAAGCCGGTTCTTGGACGATGTTGGACGTTGATGCGGGCTGTAGCTCAAATCGCTGCCACATCCGAACCTGGAGCGAAGTTGATCGGAATCAGAGCTCCGAGAATCTCCTGGGTCGAGACAGGGCGCGCCCGCAGCTGCACGACCTCGCAGCAAAACCAACATTTCCCGCATGGCTCTAGGCACTACTTCATATTGTCGTTTGGAAGCTGCCTGCCATGCTCAGGTTGAAGAGACATGACATCCCACGTCGCCTTCAAGATGTGAGGTCGGGACCCGAACGATCTCTGACAGTCTCCGCATGCCCAGCCCTCTCCGTGTCGGTGCTGTCACCATGTCAGAGCTGCTCACTGTGACAACACCTATGAGTCACTCAGAGAAGGAACGGTGGACCTCATTCGCGACAGCAGTCAGAGTGTTTTCGTTCCGACCCAATGATTGAGCAATATGCCTATACCATGCTATACCTGTTACGTACCGTTACAAGTATGTGAATCATTTAGTGACATACGTGGAGAATCATGGAGACAAGTATGTAGAATAAGTTCTACAGGCTGCACAGAGATGTCTGCATTGATGCGATTGTGGTTAGACCTGTGCTAGTTATTAAGATTGGCCAATACATGCATACATGCATACGTACCTTTGTGCCGAATATGGTACCTTTCTCCACATTCGAGCGCTTCTGGGTCTCTCTTTCCTTGTCCACAAATATCTATCTATCTTTCTATCTATCTATCTATCTATCTATCTACCTATCTCTCTCTCTCTCTTTATATATATATATATGTATGTCTACGTAAGTGTCTTTGCACAGGTGTAAGTCCTTTCTGTCTGGAAAGGCTGCCGGACGTCCTCGTGGCCGCTTCAGTGACTGCAGGGCACATGCGCATGCCAGAATCAAAATCCTGCGTTGCCTTTAAATATTCTTTCAGCATCCTTGCCTGCTGCTGCAGTGCAAACCATGCATGATGTAGGCTCTGGCATCAGACTGTGGTGCATGGGAAACGGCCCAGTCTCCGCCGCGTGGGTAAAGTTTCTAAAGTCAGCATCACCTGTTGAACACCTTGCTGTGCATACTAGGAGTCACATCTGATGCCTTGTGTTGGGCACAGGGCCACTTCAAGCGCTGAGCATGTTCCAAGCGACAGGGTGCTACCTGACCTGAGATACGTTGTTCCAGCAGGCCGAGCTTTCATCCATCGCAGCGGCCATGCAGAAGGAGTTCCAGGCGTGCAGCTGAGAGGGGTCCAAAATGCAGACTACCTCTCAGATCTGAAGACGCGAACGAAGCCGACGCCGACCATGATCATGCGTATATTACCAGGGGTGGTTTTGCTTGTGCTGGTTATTGTATTGAGCTTCGGTCGTCGTCGTCGCAGTAGTAGTAGTAGTAGTAGTAGTAGTAGTAGTAGTAGTAGTACTAGAAGAAGAAGAAGTAGTAG